GTGAAAGCTTGCTGGGGGACATTAGGCCAGTCAATGTCTCTTAGCCTACCCCATGTCACGGGGTCGTGGTTGTTAGTCTAGAGCACAGCAGGGGATCCACTTTGGATCCCCATTGGGAAAAGCAAGGCATAAATATTTCAGTGAATAAATATTCAGGCAGTGGGCAAATGCATCTTGCACTGTTACATGGAGCAGTGTGTAAAATGGTTTCTGCACAGGGCATCTCTCCGTGAGCATGCACTGAAACGCATAGTGTCAACATGTGTGTTAAGTGAAAATAATCCTGTTTTTATTTGTTTAAAAAATTGTTTTTACTCTGAACAAAAAGGAAGTAATCTGGCCTTCAGGGGGAAAACATTCGCTCACTGGTCCAGAAGAAAACAGCGCTCAAGCCCAGATCTCCGGGTTCTGTTCCCCTTTGTGTGGTTGTTTGACATCTTTAGATGCACACCCTTCAAGGTGACTTACAATGCAGTCCTAACCAGAATTAAGCCCACTGAATTCCTTGGACTTAGAAGGGCGTAACTCTGTACTGTTAGTTACCCACCCTGTCACACAGTCAAGATAATGTGATGTAGTGCTTAAGGTATAGGACTAGCAGTGCGATCTTTATTTTATTTATTTATAGCCTACCTTTCTTCCTGAGACTCAAGGTGGGTTACATAGAGTAAAGCAACACAATCATGAAGCATGAGACATCCAGCAAACAATGCAGTGAGAATATGATTGCAAAAATTAAAAACAGTGCAAAAACAGTATCAGGCATGAATTTTAGGGTTACCAGTCCCCAAGTCCTGGCAACGGTTCCCCTGGTTTTCAGAGCTTCTGCTCGCCACTGGCCAGCTGGTTGGTGAGGGGAACCCTGTCCCCAACATGATGACATCACCCGGAAGTGATGTCATCACATCAGGGGAGTCATACAGTGCCACTCTGGTTTTTGGGCAAAACTCTATGGTTTGAAGCCAGTTTTACCATAGAGTTTTGCCTCAAAACCAGAGTGTCAATGCACAACCTTCCCGATGTGATGACATCAGTTCTGGGTGATGTCATTGCATTGGGGACATCCTGGAACACCCCCCAAAGCCCCCTGCTGGTGCGACGAGGGGACTTTGAAACCCTAGGCATGATATGTCATAAGCAATGGAAAAAGAACCAAACCCAACTGGAATGACAAAAGTAGAAAGTAATATAGTAAGACCCAGATAATATATACAATTTATTTATTTATTTATTTGTATATATACCCCGCCCTCCCTGCGAGCAGGCTCAGGGCGGCTTACAGAGGTTGGTACAATGTACCTAGACAACATAAAACTTTAAAACAAACAGTGGAGTAGATTGCAATCTTGTTCCCTTTATAAAAACTCCCTCCATTCCTTTATACTGTACGAGGGATACCAGCCTCCAGGTGGGACCTGGGGATCCCTCAGAATTACAGCTGTTGAGTTGCTCGCTTAACAAAGCAGTCGGAGAGTGATTCAGCAAGAACACAACTTTATTCTTCAACTCGAACACAACTCCAACACAGATCAACATCTGATAGCCAGAACAGCCTTTACAATGCAGCTGTCCTGCTTTTAAACATTCCCGGCTAATGTAGCCACACCCACTGTACAAATACCAACCAATAAGGTTGTTCACATAAGGACCAATCACGGATGTTCCCGCTCAGGGAGCTTGCTAGAAGGTGATTGGTTAGGTGCTTTCTGGGCTAGTAACACGATTGGATGGATCTGGATCCTAGCCCAGGACGAAGCTTTACATTACACTTCAATTAGATGTTTCACAACATATCATGCATTCAAGGCAGCGTTGAATACACTACAACAGCTCATCTCCGGACTACAGAGATCAGTTCCCCTGGAGAAAACGGATGCTCGGGAGGGTGGACTCTAGGGCATTGTGCCCCACTGTTTCCCAACATGAATCTGGCAAGCCAACCCCACCATCCCCCATCAGCGGCCGGGGGACCCGGCAACCATACTGCAGCCCTTACTCTAGGAGTGTAGTGTCCGCTGACCACCACCGGAGGCCAGCGCACACGCCTGAGCTTCAGTCTGGGACAACAATGGGGACTAGGATCCTAGTCCCTCCACTGGGGGAACCAATGGGAACCGTGGCGGGAAATTCAAACCCGCCAATGGGACCCAGGGGTGGTCCCCTGGCTGTGTATATAGTTGGCCTGCCGGCCGTTTGTGCGGTGTCTTGTGTGCCTAATAAAGCGTGCTATGCACTACGTCGTCGTTCATCGTTCTTCCATGCGGCAACCCACTACATAACAAGGAGTAAGCTCCACTGAATAGATCTGAGTAGGATTCTTAGTAGACATGCTTAAGAGTGCACTGTAAGGGACTCAAGTTCCAGCTCTTATTCTGGATAGCTTAGGGCCGGTCGTTCTCTCGCCTAACAGACTCGTAGGGTTCTTGTGAGGATAAAATGGAAGGCGGGAGAACCAAGTATTTTGCTGTAGGCTCTTTGAAGGAAAGGCAGGATAGATGTTATAAGTTATACTTGATCTTAATAAACATTTTAAAAACCAAAAAAAAAAAAGGTAAGCGCAGATTTTCTCCTTGCCCTTTAAGTACATGTTTCGGACTGTAATAGGGATTCTGACCCACATTAGTGATTTTAGGTCAAGAGCTCTTATCGATTGATACATTTAAATCCTACCCTTTTCACACCACAAAGCCCAAAGCAGCATACGTAAGATTCCCAGAGTTCAGTTTGTGTTCGCTGAACCCATCTCTTTTTGTCTGCTGCCTTCAGACAAGTCAGACCATAATTCTGGCTCCCCTTCTTCCTGTCATGTGCCTCTGATGTCACAAGACTTCCTGTCAGGTGCTTATAGTTCATTGTGTCTCATGCTTCCCCCAGGTTGCTTTTTAGGTTGAAAACCACTATGTTAAAATCAGGTATGAGGCGGAGAAAGTAGAGAAAATATTCTCTCCCTATCTCATCATACTAGAATTTGTGAGTACCCAGTGAAGTTCTTGGGTGGTAAATTAAAAGGAAATGTTCGATCAAAGAGAAATTGGCTTGTGGAATCTGAAGTATGGGAGGTAGACTGACAGCCCCTAATTTAGTTGCCTTTAAAATAGAATTAGGCAGAGTTTTGGAGGACAGGTCTGTCAATGGCTAAATGAAACCTTCACGTTCAGAGGTAGTAACCCTTTGAGATCCAGGTTGGGGAGCAACAGTGGAGTGCTTTTGGCCTCCGTGCCTTGTTTGTAGACTTTCCGGGGGGGATCTGGTTGGCTAATACATGAAACTAGGTGCTGGGCTAACTGGACTATTATTTGATCCAACACAGCTGTTCTTACATTTTTTTAATGCATGGGGTTATGGGTTCTTAGGGCAAAGTCCTATCTATATCAGCTGGTCATGGCCTTTCTGATTCTCAGGCAAAGGTTTTTCCTCCATTTCATCTTTTTAAGTGGAGATGGTAGTGGCCTTTTTTTTTTTTTTGCCTTTACGTCACAGCTGACTGATGGTGACCCTGTAGAGTTTTCAAGGCAAGAGATGTTCAGAGGTTGTTTGCCATTGCCTGCCTCTGCATAGCCACCCTGGACTTCCTTGGTGGTCTCCAGTCCAAGCAGTAACCAAGGCCAACCCTGGTGAGCTTCTGAGAGCTGACAAGTTTAGGCTAGCGTGGGCTATCCAGGTCAGTGTGGTAGGGACTTAGCCTGGAATATTCTGCATGCAAAACATGTGCTTTGTCAGTGAGCACACTCCGTACTTTTGCCAGGTCGGTAGCTCACCGCCTGAGGGTGTAGTGGGGTAAGCCAATGGTCACTTCCTTCCACTGGATTAAGAGGGTGATCTGGTTTTCTCTGTGTTTGGTGGCCCCTGCCCTCTGGGGATAGGGGAGTGGGCAAGTTGCAACACCCACCCCCCAAGAGGGGGATAGGGAGTGAGCTGGTTACTTGGACTGGCGGTGCACTTGATGTAAATATCTTGATGCTACCATATAGCATTGGAAACCACCATCTTGTACATGAGTTGGGTTTACCATGAGAGAGCCAGATTGGTGTAGTTGATAGGAGTGCAGACTCTAATCTGGGAGAACAGAGTTTGATTCCCCACTCTTTCACATGCAGCTGCTGGTATTACCCTGGGTCAATTACAAGCTCCTTCAGAGCTGTTCTCTCAAGGGCAGTTCTTGAAAGAGCTCTCTCAGCCCCACCTACCTCACAGGCAGTGTTCTCTCTAAGCTGAGTTAGTGTGAGCTAGCTCACAGGTTTTTATCCTCCGGATCACACATTTTTGTCTTAGCTCAGGAAGAATGGGGCCAGAGCAAACTAATTTATGCAGTAGCCAAATTGATCACTCACAACTTTAATGCCAGTAGCTCACAAAGTAGAATTTTTCCTCACAAGGCTCCATAGCTTAGAGGGAGCATTGCTCCCAGGGTGTCTGTTGTGGGGAGGGGAAGGGAAAGGAGATTTTAAGTCGCTCTGAGACTCCTATGGGTAGTGAAGGGCAGGGCATAAATCCAATCTCTTCCTCCTCCTCCTCCTTCCCACTTGGCCACACTGCAAGCTTGCAATATGGGCTCATTCTTGGGATCCCAAAAGCATAGGGTTCCAACCAGCAGGACACCTCCCATCCTCTCCCTCTGAGATCATCTGCTAGAGGGGTCTTCCCCTGTTCTCCATAACTTCTCTTTCCCCATACATCCTAGCACATGTCCTTTATGTTGCAGAAGTGTGTGGACTGGAGCCAACTAAACTTCTTCTTCCCCCACCTCCCTCCCCGCTTCTGTTAGCAGGCTTCTAAACCTGGATCTCCAGAGCAGAAGCTAATTAACTCTCCGAGCAAACAATTGAAGGGCGGGGGGATGTCCTACACCATTGTGAATCATATTGTTTCACGGGATGATATTAGTGATGCCGGCAGGTTTTATCTGCTAGAATAAGGACATTTACAGCATGAAGAATTTATATTCATTAAATGTAAATCCTTGGGTAATTTCTCTCTCTCTCTCTCTCTCTTGGATCCAGGCCGTGCATTGCTGAGGCTTACAGACAAAAAGCTGGAGCGGATGGGGATTGCTCAGGAAAACTTACGACAGCATATTTTGCAGCAGGTCCTCCAGCTGAAAGTGCGGGAGGAAGTCCGAAACCTTCAGCTGCTGACACAAGGTAAGGGAAAGTTCCAATAAAGAAGGCCCACCAGAGAGGAGAGGAAAAGGTTGTGCCGAGGCGGACAAAAATGACTTTGATGTTCTGCAGCCTGAACTGTTGCATGGAGGGGCCTCGTGGGGTCTCCCCACCTTCCCGGGGATGAACAAAAGGCAAATAACAAGAAACCGATCAATAGGTGAACTAGGGGCCACCTGTCTGTTAGGATGACAGCAATTATTAGTCTACTGTTTCCTAGTAGTAAAAAAGTCCCCTTCTCGTTAAGACAAACAGCAGAAATTCGGTATCGCTTTATGAACATCAGATGCTGTTAATGGTTTTTATCTTACATACATTGAGGACTAGATGTTTAGCATCATACCTGGTTGCCGCTGCCCAGGGTTGAATTTTCTCTTCTTCCGCATAAGGCTAAAATGCATTACTACCCCTGTCATTGCATCATCGTGTTTGTTTATTGCCTCGTCCCAGCTCTATATCTTTGAGCGCTGCTGGTGGAAGCTGGGAAATCACAGTGTGGTAACATCATAACATGGTAAGTGTGCCTAAATGTTGTAGGCAAAGACCTCAACCCAGGGCTGCTGTTTTCAGTGGCAGCTCCAGGTCTTGGAAAATGGCTTATTGGGCCATGAGGTTTTGCACTGACTGAGGTTTGCCAACTTATTTCTCAAAGAGAACATCTAGCTACATGGTCATGAGATGTTTGATTAAGGGGGTTATGTTCTGTCACAGGGCTACAGATCTTGGGAATGGGAGTCTATGGAGCATCTTTGGGTTATGCAGCTGGTAAAGGCACTGGCGCAACTGTGATAATGAATATCAGTGCTTGCCTTTTCACAAGTAGAGTAGTGCTGGGTTAATTCAGAAGAATATTAGCTGAAGTTCGCTATATTTTATTTGTTCCATGTGTTGAGGGGCTTTCCTGCATTCTCATTGGCCTCGCTTGTGTGTTCCTGTTGCTTCGAGGGGGTTTCCCTGTTCCGCATGTATTCTGCTCCCTCTAGTGGTCAATTCAATATTACATTGTTGTATGTTCGGCATCACTCCTTGCAGATTTTGTATGCCAGATATAAAGCAATGTAATATCAAATTGACCACTAGAGGGAGCAAAACACATGCAGAACAGACCCTTCCCCCCCCCAGCAACAGGAACACACAAGTGAGGAAAATGGGAGTGTGGAAAAGCCCAAGGAAGCTGCCAGGAGGAGCAATTATGCTGGTCAAAGACAAGCAAAAATTATTTTCACTGGACAGTTCATAATTCATTTGCAGTCTTGATTAACTTCTGGACTTGTGGGCTCTTACTTGATAAACTGGTTATCATATTTACAAAGTCGGAGCTAAATGCTGGGTACAGAGTGTCCAGTTCAGATTCAGTGGGAATACTTAATAATGGTTGCGGGTTCTCTTTCAGAACAACTAGATTTGAGTCCAGTAGCACCTTAGAGGCCATCAACATTTGGGAAGTATGAGCTTCCGTGATTCAAAGCTTCCTTCATCTCTAAGGTGCCTCTGAACTAAAATCTAATTGTTCCAGTGCAAACCAAAATAGCTGTCCTCTTAAACTATCTTTCAGAACAAGGTTTTGTGTCTCGGTGTTCTTTTAGGTCTCAGCAGCCATTTGCATTGCCTGCCTGATCTTCTTTGCTTTATAACTTCTCCTAATTCGGGGTGACCAAATTTGGAATCTTCCATTGTCTGTTGTTGTGTTTGTAGCCATGTCGATCCCCCGGCAGTTCTGCAGCTGTCTTGACAACTGCTCTCTTAGCCATCCTTGCTAGGAGGAGATGACAACTTGTGATGCACTGAGTTGGATGTAGGTTATTACCTGCATATGGAGCAGGGGTCGTTTCGTAGAAAAAGAGCTAGGGGAACTCATTAGCATAACTCATTAGCATATGCCACACACCCTGACATCACCGGAAGTATGTCATAAGGCCACACCCCCTGACATCACTGGAAGTGTGTCATAAGGCCACACCCCCTGACATCACTGGAAGTGTGTCATAAGGCCACACCCCCTGACCCCTGCGAAGGCCCTCCCTGGCCCCAGGCAGGCAGGGGTGGGGAGAGGCAGGGAGGAAGCAACTTACCCTCCCTCTTCTCCTGCCTCCTCCTGGCTGAATGAGGGCCGGAAGCGGGGCCGCCGGAAGCAGGGGGCGGGGTTTCGTCATGTGCCCCGCCCCCCATACCTAACCCGGGGGAACTGCGATCCCCCCGAAATGACCTCTGATATGGAGACCTTTCCAATGGATTCAGCTAATCTGTTCTCGTGGTTTTGTTAGGAATACAGAAACAGGGAAGGGAGGAAGTGGAGGGGAAGATCAAGCACCCAGCAGGCCACAAGTCAGGGCTGGCAACCTGTGTTTGGCTTGGTTCGTCATGAGCCAGGCAGGCCTGTTATAAAGAAACCTCATTAATCCATCCACTTCACCCAGTTTGCTCCAAGGCCAGGTGGTGAAATCAGACCCTGCCGTATTTGCATGGGTATTATCTATCATTATCAACTCGTATCCTCAGATGTTCCTCCATAGAGCACAGGTCATCTGTGGGGCTCCTTTACTTAAACTAATGGTCCACAAAATGAGGGAGATAACAAGTCACTGCCTTGGAAGGCACAGGCTGTCTCCCAGATCTCTGCCAATTTTTTTCCCCCCTCCTGTTCTGGCTAAGTGGCACCAGACTAGATTTACTTCGTCCTCTACACCTCTTGGAGCATAGCGGCTTTGTATTCTCTGTGACATGTCGAATGCTGACACTGCCTGCCGTTCAGCTTGGAGCTTCCTCCCTGGCCGTGTTGCCAGATGATCAGTCTGGAATTTTCGGTGCCTCAAGAATTCTTGGACGTTGTTCAGGACTTTCTTATGTGTTCGTTGTGGGAGAAGGAGGAGCAAGGGACTAAAATACCAGCGACTGCTGTGTCTTCCTCTTCTTCATTTGTGGTGTACTGGCAGCCTGATTCTACACTTTCCGAGTCTTCCCCATCTGTTTGCCTAGAAGTTATTTTTAATCACCTCAGGGACTAGGCTGTTTATGAGCCTGATAGGTTGTAAGAAGTATATTAGGCATACATATCAGACATCACTCACCTCAGGTGTGTACTGCAATTTGGTCTTCCCCTTTCAGAACTATTCCATCCTCACAAGGTTTTTTGATCGGTGGGCTTGGCAAGCTATTCATCACTAGCGGTACATCGGGGTATTTTATTTGTAGCTTGCCAGACCTGTGGTTCAGGCTTCCTAGTAATGCTCTATACAAGGAGGCGAATGAACTAGCAAACTTTGTAATCGGTTTTTATCCACACTGTTCTGCATGAACTGCACTGGCTGCCTATTGAGTACCGGATCCATATCAGGGTGCTGGCGCTTACCTTCAGAGCCCTATACGGTCAGGGGCCTGCATATCTTTGAGACCGCCTCTCCCCATATGAGCCCCATAGGGCATTACGATCTGCAAACCAGCATCCCCTGGTGGTCCCTGGCCCCAGGGTCGTCTGTCTTTTTTGGCCCTGGCCCCTACCTGGTGGAATGAGCTCCCCTGTGAGATCAGGGCCCCATGGGATCTTTCACCGTTCCGCAAGATGGAGCCCTTCTGCCAGGCTCTTAGCCGAGGCGGTGGGCGTCCAGACCATATTGGGCCTCCCTTCCAGTGACCCAGATTTGAGTCACCATCTGGAACCCCAGCTTGTGGTAGACCTCATCTGTTGAAGCTCTAGTTAGGAGTATCGGAAGTTACAAACGGTATTTTAACTTTGATCCATTTTAATGGGTTTTAACTGTTATTTGCATATTTACGTGATTGTTGACTTGGTATGATGGAACCCCTCCCTGAGCCTATGTGGGGAGGGTGGGCTATAAATCAAAATTAAAAATCAAAAACTAAATTAATTCTCTGCAGGACCATATCCTGAATAAGAAATGTGGTTTGTCTGGTAGCCCTGTCGTCTCCTGTTTTCCTGTCAACAGCTCTGGGGTGGGAGGAAAACAGTACAGACTAGGAGAAACATGAACCATAAATGGTTGTTTTCCCTGCTTTGATGGAAACTCGCTGTGACAAATTATGAGAATCCCTTTCAGGTAGGCAGCCTTCAGGGATCCAATTCTTAATGTTAGCTCGCTTAGTGAAGTTAATGCTGTGCCAGTCAAGGTCACGAATTGCCCATAAGACTGAGATTGGGGTCAGTAGTTCACCGTAGTCCTGCTGATAGTTCTCGTTATAACCCCCAGGGTAGTCCATGGGGAATTGCTTGACTAAGAGATATTGTAGACTTGTCAAGGAGGTCTCTCCAGTGGTCCTACTCTTCACTGTCTCAGCCAATTTAATTTGTGGTGTCACTCATCTGAAGTCAATGCTGAAGGACACCCGCACTTTGTTACCAAGGGATTTGATGTGTCACTCTTCAGCATGCCATCTTGTCTTCCAGCCAGCTGATGAGATACGAGAAGCCTTGGGCAAAAATGGCTGGAATCCAAAACAGTGAAATGCTTTTTTAATGTTACAGAAGGACTGCTATGTCTTTTTGAATTGAAATATTTACAGCCTGTCCTTCCATAAAACTCAGGGCGGCTTACTATAAACAAACAAAAAAAGAGAGTTGAGTTTATACAGGTTACTTCCATGAAGCTTAAAACAGCAAAACTCACAAGAAGCATAAAACAGTACATCTGACTCAGAAGACAATCATCATCATTCTGTGCCAGACCCTCAGCAGACATCAGCAAAAGCAGGAAGCCACCCAGTTCTGGGGCGAAAGGTCTGCAATTATTATTAGTAGGTTAGGTGCTGAGTCTTGGATCCCAAATACATATGTGAGGGCTGTCAAGTCACAGCTGACTTATGGGGAACCCAGCAAGGGGCTTTCAAGGCCAGCGAGAAGCGGAGGTGGTTTGCCATGGCCTTCCTCTGCAGAGTCTTCCTTCATGGTCTCCCGTCCAAGAACCAGCCCTGCTTGGCTATCAAGATCAGGTGAGATTGGGCATTCCATGTCACCTTCCCTTTCTAGA